CCTGAGGGTGGGGGCACTGATTTGTTTTCCTGACACTATAGTGATCCTTTAATATTCTTACGTAAAGAAGGCGATCAATATTCAGAATTTGTCCGAGAGTATGTCTTGTTTATGCTATTTTACCATCATGGTAAAAGGTAAGAATATATTTTTGATACTCGGGAGGTATTTATTTTTTGCCCATAGGGTATATGCTTAGGTGCCTAGTTTTGTTTGGCTTCTATGTTACCAACGAGTTCCGAATTTATCCTAACGTAAGTGTTAGCCACTATCCTATGTGTAGGCACGATAGCTGCTTCTTCTGTGACAAGACAGGCATCTGGTTCACACTGATGAGACCAGGAATCAGCTTTAGTATTTTTAGATCCAGGTCTATAGGTTAGTATTTAATTAAATCTTGCTAGAAAAAGAGACCCAGGTGCCTGTCGAGCGGATAACGTCTTATCCTCTCCAAGGTAAGATAAGTTCTTTCGGTCAGTCAAGAAAGTAATGGGAATAGTTGTGCCCTCTAACAAATGCCTCCATTCTTTCAAGGCATGTATTATTGCTAGTAATTCCCTGTCTCCTATCTCATATCTCCTTTCCGTGTCCGTCAGTTTCGTAGAATAAAAACCGCAAGGATGCAAGGGTTCATCAGGACTCTTTCTTTGGGATAATACAGCTCCTACTCCTGTCTCAGAAGCATCACCCTCTAACAAATAAGGCAAAGTGGGGTCTGGATGTACCAATATAGGAGCAGAGGCAAGGGGCTTTTTTAGGATATCAAAGGCTTGCAGCGCGTCTTGTGAGCAATGTTTGGGATTACCTTCTTTCTTGGTCATATTAGTAATTGGAGCAATTATGGATGAGAAACCCTTTAAGAACCTCCTGTAATAATTAGAAAAGCCCATAAACCTTTGTAAGGCCTTCAGTCCGGTAGGTAGAGGCCACTGAAGTAGGGATTCTAGTTTAGTCCAATCCATAGCAAATCCTTTCTCCGATATTATGTATCCTAGAAAGGCAATCTGCTTTTGATCAAAAAGGCATTTTTCTAATTTGCAGTATAGTCCATTGTGTAGGAGTTTGGTCAGAACCTTCTTAACATGAATATCATGCGTCGCCTTGTCTTTTGAATAGATCAAAATGTCATCTAGGTATACAATAGCACATTCATGTAAGAAGTACCTTAGTACATGATTAATTTGATCCTGGAAGACAGCAGGAGCATTGCATAACCCGAAAGGTAGTCTGTGGATTTTGTCCTTCCATAAGCAAAGTTGATGGGCGTGTCATCAATGTTTGCAAGGCAAGAGCAATCTGGTCCATGCGGTGGTCTGTTTTCTCAAATCTATTAACATATGTAGCCATTTGAGGGCTAGTACCTACAATGTCCATTGGCCCTGTTGTAATGTTATGATACCTAGTGACCCAACACGCATGATAATAGATGAGACAACGTTTACTGGTCCTTAGAATGGCAGGGTTATACATTGTTAGATAAAGAATGGTAAGGGACAAGCAGAGTCAGGGAAGCCACGTCATAAAAAGGGGCAGAGTTATAGCAGCCAGCGTTGGAACCGCTGGTGAGATGAGAGGGACCATGAGAAGGGTCCCTCTCCCCTTCACGGACCTTCGTAGGTTGTGACACATAAGGTACTGTGACAGTCAGGTTTGTTTGGTCTTGGTAACACATGAAAACAAAATACTTATGGTCTGTAGTTATGGATTGAGAGAATGAGTCTTTTTGAGATCTTGTTTATGATGGTGGTGTTTAAATATTGGTAGATCTGATATAAAATATATAAAGACGAGCGCTTGTTACAATGAATGGCATGTAGAGGAGGCTGGAGAAGATTGTGAGATTTTCCGAAGGGAATTGATGGCAAAATGCATTGAGATTAAAAGTATCCTTTATAGTTGCCCCAACTGAAAACCTTTCTAGAAAAGAAGAAAATGGTGTGTTATTTCAGGATTGCAAGAGAAGGTATTGGTGATAATGCTGTTCAATGGAATAAACATGATGCAAGTAGGAACTTATAAAAAAAAAAAAAAAAAAAAAAAACTGCACTTCAGTATTTATTGCACTTTGTAAAAGTGCCAGGTATTGCACTTTAGCTGTTTGTATAAGTAGGAACGTAAACACTGTCTGGGGACTTATTAGCACTACTGTACAGGCTACCTTGCCAGTGTAGATTTAGATGTGATAGGTAGAAAATCAGGCTAAAATATTTTTGTAAAATTCTAATCTGGAAAAAGTAATAAAAAATATACAGTTCAGACCATCTGTATTCTATACATGTAAATACAGTGAAGAAAGTGGATTTATGGATCTCACCCACATGTACCAGAGCCCCTTCATCCCTGGCTCTGTGTTTAAACAGCTCCAATTGAGAGGAAATGTCTCTAGTGCATGCTACCCAATTTAGTTATCTTCTACACTTAGACAAGGGGAGAACAAGAGAGACCAGGAACCGAATGGCATTATATCAAACTTCTTTATTATAAAACAAAGAAAAAAAACACAATTAAAACTGCTTATGTTGCAAGTGGTGAATATCTGCCTTGGGCAACCTACAGTCTCACTAGGTACAGCTGACTCTCACCAAACACATGAAGTTCCTTCCTGGGTTCCGAGGTTCCCAATTATGTGGGGCTCTCTGGTCTGCCTCTCCGTGGACTCTACAGTGATACGTTTCACCCCAATCATTTAAGTATATTTCTAAACACACCACTATTGTATTGGGTATTTTTGGTCACTAATTGTATTCACGTTTTGGTGAGTGCTGCTGGATTGTGTAGATTTTATTCATATGTTTTTGCATATTTGTGGGTATTGTTTTTCTATTCTGAGCGCCTTTCGCTTTTTTAGTTATTTAAAATTTCTTTGCGCTTTGCCCAAGGTGGTTAGTGTCTTTATTTGTCTAGAACTGGTGCAGATTAATATATTTTGCTCTTTTATGTCACTAGAGTTTGCAGGTTTGTAATTTTATCATGAAGGTTATGGAAATCTGCATATTCAGAAAGAGATCACGTTTTTTTCCTTCGTGGGGATTCATTTTCCACATATACTTTTAATATTTTACATAGACGTCATTGTTTTTAATTACTATTAGAGTTGAGTGGACACCTGGATGTTCGGGTCCGGCTGGTTCAGCCGAACTTTTGAAAAAAAGTCCGGGTTCAGGCTCGAACTTGACCCCGAATCTGAACCTCATTGAAGTCAATGGTGACCCGAACTTTTGGGCACAAAAATGCCTCTAAAAAAATCCTGGAAAGGACTAGAGGGCTGCAAAAGGAAGTAAAATGTAGGTAAGAGTAGGACAAGTGCCCTGCAAACAAATGTGGATAGTGAAATCACTTAAAATAACAAAGTACATAAAAATTAAAAATATAGCTGAGCCATAAAATAGCACTAGATGGAATCTTTGATTTTAGCTTTGTAAGAACATAAATCAAAATCTAAAGCATGGCTGTCAGGAAGATCACCAGAATCATCCATTTGAGAGAGGGTTGGAGTGCAGGGTATTCTCTTTCATTGTTCAAACTGAGCTCAACTCCTGATGCATGGAGAAAAGGCCTTCACAAGCCTCTGCTATTGTGTACATAGTTTATACTAAGTGACCCATAGGTTGAGGAGGAGGTGACCGTGGCGGTGTAGGTGGAAGCGGCGGTGGAGGAGGTAGCCAACACTGATTTTTATATATATCTATTTATTTATTTATTTATTTTTATTGGGGTAGCCCCCAAATATTGGGACATATAAAAAAGAAACATTTGCGGCCTGCGGTGCATTTCTTGCAGTCCTGATGCATGGAGAGATGGGCAACTCCTGATGCATGGAGAAAAGGCCTTCACAAGCCTCTGTTATTGTGTACCTAGTTTATACTAAGTGAACCATAGGTTGAGGAGGCAGTGACCGTGGCGGTGTAGGTGGAAGCAGTGGAGGAGGAGGAGGAGGTAGCCAACACTGTTTTATTTATATATATATATATATATATATTTTTTTTTTTTTTTTTTTTTTTTTTTTTTTTTTTTTATTGGGGTAGCCCCCAAAATATTGGGACATATAAAAAAAGACAACTCTGTTCCGCAGAGCGACTGACCCGTGCGTGCTGCAGCTGAAACTCCACTATCGCCTGCTGCTGCTTGCACAGTCTCATGAGGTGGTGAGCAGGAAGGCCGAAGTTACGCTGCAGCGCAGACAGGCGAGCAGCAGCAGGAGATGAGGAGGAAGTGCGCAAGGAGGTGTAACGGCATCTGGCATATTACCGAGAGCCACCCTCAGAAGAGATTGTCAGCAGGACTTTTTTGGAGGTGCAAGCCTATGTCCTTGCCAATAGACAGAGGGCGACCTCCATGAACCCAGATGAAGGAAGAAGGGAACAGAGGGCACCAGGAAGCGCAACCACCCTGGCCCACAAGCTACCATACAATGCCTTCAAAGACTTCAAGGAAGCAGAAGAAGGCATCAATGACTTTTTACAAGACTTTGAGCACCAGTGCCTACTCCAAGAAGTCCCTTAATTACCCAAATCCTCCTGGCCCGGTATGCGGTCACCCCTGAGCAATACCGCCGAAAGTTTGAGACCCGGAAAGGGGAGAAGAACTCCCATGCAGAGTGGGCATGCCTCATCACAAGGGCCACCCAGAACTGGCTCAACTCCCATCAAGCCACGTTTCCGGAGGAGATCACCCAGCTCATCATGCTAGAGCACTTTTTCAATGGGCTCCCCAACGACATGACTGGTGAGAGACCGCCAGCCCCAGACCCAAGAAGTATTGGTAAGAGCTGCTGAAACTAGCTCACGATATCCCCTTGGCAGGGCATTTGGGCAGGAGCCGGACAGCATCTCGACTCACCCACAGCTTCTTCTGGCAAGGCATCTCTCAGGATCTGAGGCAGTACTGCCAGATGTCTGCCAGAGAGTGGAGAAGAGAAGGGACCGGCACAGGGCCCCCCCTCAATCCCCTACCTATTAGTGAAGATCCGTTCGGCAGAGTAACTGTCGACATTATAGTTGCGCAGGCACTTTGTTGACTCTAGAGAACCTCGGGCCAATCGCACGTCCCCGTGACGGCGACTTTGCATTCAGATGTCATCCATATCAACTTTCGATGCCAGTTTCTGTGCCTACCATGGTGACCACGGGTAACGGGGAATCAGGGTTGGATTATGGGGAGGGAATATGAGAAACGGCTACCACATCCAAGGAAGGCAGCAGGTGCGCAAATTACCCACTCCCGACGCGGGGAGGTAGTGACGACAAAGAACAATACAGGACTCTTTAGAGGCCCTGTAATTGTAATGAGACCACTTGAAATCCTTTAACTCTGATCAATTGGAGGGCAAGTCTGGTGCAGAGCGACTGACCCGTGCGTGCTGCAGCTGAAACTCCACTATCGCCTGCTGCTGCTCGCACAGTCTCATGAGGTGGTGAGCGGGAAGGCCGAAGTTACGCTGCAGCGCAGACAGGCGAGCAGCAGCAGGAGATGAGGAGGAAGTGCGCAAGGAGGTGTAACGGCGCCTGGAATATTACTGAGAGCCACCCTCAGCAGGACCTTTTCGGAGTTGCAAGCCTATGTCCTTGCCAATAGACAGAGGGCGACCTCAATGAACCCAGATGAAGGAAGAAGGGAACAGAGGGTGCCGGGATGCACAACCACCATGGCCCACAAGCTACCATACAATGCCTTCAAAGACTTCAAGGAAGCAGAAAAAGGCATCGATGACTTTTTACAAGACTTTGAGCGCCAGTGCCTACTTCAAGACGTGGACCCCAGCGACTGGGTCACCATCCTGGCCAGCAAACTAGTGGGGCAGGAAGCGCATATTTACCTGGCTGTACCAGAAGAGCAGATCAGAGACTATCCCTTTATTACCCAAATCCTCCTGGCCCGGTATGCAGTCACCCCCAAGCAATACCGCCGAACGTTTAGGGAAACCTAGAAAGGGGAGAAGGACTCCCATGCGGAGTGGGCATGCCACATCACAAGGGCCACCCAGAACTGGCCCAACTCCCATCAAGCCAAGTTCCCGGAGGAGATCACCCAGCTCATCATGCTAGAGCACTTTTTCAATGGGCTCCCCAACGACAAGGCGACAACGCATTCGTATGTCATCCATTTCAACTTTTGATGCCATTTACTGCACCAACCATGGTGACCACGGGTAACGGGGAATCAGGGTTTGATTCCTGAGAAACGGCTACCACATGCAAGGAAGGCAGCAGGCGTGCAAATGACCCACTCCTGACGCGGGAAGGTAGTGACGTCAAATAACAATACAGGACTCTTCAGAGGCCCTGTAATTATAATGAGTCCACTTGAAATCCTTTAACTCTGATCAATTGGAGGGCAAGTCTGGTGCAGAGCGACTGACCCATGCGTGCTGCAGCTGAAACTCCACTATCGCCTGCTGCTGCTCGCACAGTCTCCCCAACATGTGCAGGGTGGAGTTCCACCTTATGGGCATGTTGCATATGAGGCGGTGAGTGGGAAGGCCAAAGTTACGCTGCAGCGCAGACAGGCGAGCAGCAGCAGGGTGAGAACGCCGAAAGCACGCACAGCCGCTACAGTGAATGTCACATCCTGTTCCAAGTTGCGGATCAGTCTGGTGATGGCTTCTGGTATCCAGTTCTCTCTTTACTGAAGCTGCATCAGGGTCCTGGTAGAATTTTTACAACTGCGCTGTAAGCGCACTATTTGACGCTTCTATTTGACTCTCAGATATGAAGAGCACGCCCAAAATGTACGATTTAGCAGTTTAGCAGCAAAACAATTAAAATGTTTACAACTGCGCTGTAACCACACTATTTGACGCTTCTATTTGACTCTCAGATATGAAGAGCACGCCCCAAATGTACTATTTAGCAGTTTAGCAGCAAAACAATTAGAATTTTTACAAATGCGCTGTAACCGCACTATTTGACGCTTCTATTTGACTCTCAGATATTAAATGCACCCCACTAATGTACTATTTAGCAGATTAGCACCCAGAAAATAAGAATGTTTACAATTGCGCTGTAACCACAGTATTTGACGCTTCTATTTGACTCATATGAAGAGCACGCCCAAAATGTACTATTTAGCAGTTTAGCCGCAAAACAATTAGAATTTTTACAACTGCGCTGTAAGCGCACTATTTGACGCTTCTATTTGACTCTCAGATATGAAGAGCATGCCCAAAATGTATTATCCATGTTCGGGTCCAGGGTCCCAAAGCATATTGTTCGGTACGAACCCGAACATTACAGTCCGGGTTCGCTCAACTCTAATTACTATATGTACAATAATTGAATAACATTACCATTCTATTGATACAAATATTTAATGTAGTACAGTGTAATGTAATTATTTGTAATATTTTTTTTTCTTTTTTTGAAAAGCTTTACAAAAATCTATTAAAAAAAAAAAAAAGTAGACATAATTTGATGCCCATTTATAAATACCATAATGACATATTTGTGTTATAGAAATAGAGAGGTTGCAGAACATTCACTGTTTAATTAGCTGCTTGTTGAATGATCAATCCATTTACCAGTTAAAAATTGATTCTGAGAAATAAAGTTAATTTCACTTTTAAAAACTTTACTTCTCTGAAGAAAAGAAAATAAAAAAATGAAAAAAAAACAACAGATTTGTAACCTAAGAAATTGGAACTTCTATCACACCTTTCAACAACAGTAAAAATGCCTGTTTGGGAAAAAACAACTGTTAGAAAATACACAAATAGTTTATTCTCTGTTGATTTATGGAACAAATTAAATACAAAAACCTAAACTAATTTCAAACGGCATTAAGTTTCACAGCTAAAATATGGCACAATTATATTTTACAAGGTAATAAACAATTTTGCAACAAATGACTTCTCACATAAATATGTTTTCACAATGTCTGTGTGCGAACACATTATGAATATTCAGAAGATAATGCATTATAGCGTCATTGGCTTTGTTATCTCTGAAATAATTGGCCATAAACTTAATGATACTTTAATCATAGTTAGTTAAACCATGAATTCTGCATAGTATTCAATAGGGCATTGTGCTTGAGTTAACCAGTCACAGTTCTTTATCATGTGACATAAAGCAGGTGTTAAAGGAACAAGCTTTCTGACACCACACAGCAATAACGATGTCACTGTGAAATATAGTGGAGAAATTAGATTCTTTTGTGACCTATATTACTTTAAAGTTATATGGGTCAGGCACGGCAAGAAATGGATTGTTGTTTTTAACCAACACTGCCATCTAGTGGTGGAAGTGCAAATGTACATATATAATTTTAATAATGAGCAAGGTGCTTAGCGGTTTCTTTTGTGTCAATTTGGTTTATTTTCTTTGTATAAATCTTTATTCGTAAAGCAATAATACAAAAATAATAATAGGCTTACTCATCGTCATTCACTAAAGTTTAACTTGTTGGGATCCCTTATATGGATACAATAGTGAAAAATGAGAAGCTGTAGAAATGGATGAACTCACATCATAACTACACAAATAAATTGGAATCCTTGGCTGGATGGAATATTCTGTGTCCTTGATAAATATGGCACTTTGACCTTGAGGCACAACACTAATCTTCTTTTATATTCTAGTCTATATGGGCACTCCTTTCAAATTTCTACTCTCCTTCCTTCTGGTTCCTTCTTCTCTTATTTCCCACTACTTTTCACTTATATCTGGGTGTGAGCGTGGGCTTTCTGTTGTATTTTTCTCATTAAAGAGGTCTGGGTGCACTGTTCCTGTTTCCTTAAAGGACCACTATAGTGCCAGGAAAACATACTCGTTTTCCTGGCACTATAGTGCCCTGAGGGTGCCCCCACCCTCAGGGTGCCCCTCCCGCCTGGCTCTGGAAAGGGGAAAGGGGTTTAAACTTACCTTTCCAGCTGGGCGGAGAGCTCTCCTCCCTTCCTCCTCCTCCCCTGCCCTGGGCTGCTGAAGCACGCCAGCGGTCACTGCGGAAAGGTCCACATTATCCAGGATGCGCCTACCGTGAAAATCACAGTGAGAAGCACGCAAGCGATCTAGTGGCTGTCAATGAGACAGCCACTAGAGGCTTTGGGGGAAGGCTTAACCCATTAATAAACATAGCAGTTTCTCTGAAACTGCTATGTTTATTAAAAATGGGTTAACCCTAGCTGGACCTGGCACCCAGACCACTTCATTAAGCTGAAGTGGTCTGGGTGCCTAGAGTGGTCCTTTAACCCTGCCATGTAAAATATTGCAGTTTTAGAGAAACTGTTTTGGAGGGTTTCCTGTAGTTTCACAGAGTTTGACTGTAGTTAGCTTAATTAATAGGGCCCATAAATGAAGCAATCAGACCCAGGCTTTTTTTTACCCTGAGCAAATAGCTGAGAGATGAACCACTGCTGTGCAACTGGGATATCCTGTGAGTAATTGGATCCAAATTCATTGCTAGGTGGAGCATTGCCTCACATCCCCTGCACTTTGTGTTCCTTGTCCCATTACCCTTTACTAGGTAACTTCCCTTACTGTCCTCCAGGTGTTGCCTTTATAACTGGCTGGTTGGCTGGTGCACTTGTTGCCTGGCTTACATGGATGGATGTATGGCGGGTGGAGGTTATGGGGCTTCCAGACTGCACTCAACGAATTGATTCCGTGTCAGCCAGGAGCAGATTGCTCAGTCTAGATAAAGGGACATGCGTGTCAATTGCCACTGTTTCTACCAATATTGTTGCTTCTGTTTTCACTTGGCACTGAATAAAGAGACCAGGAATGAAGCCATGAAAGTGGAGCCCAACAACCCTCGCACATAAATTCAGGAATAAGAGTTCCATAATCAGCGATGAAGATATCACCCCAGCCCGTGGTTTTCCTATCACACTGTATGGAGATAACAGTTGGTATTTACAAATAGCTTCTTCAGTGTTTTCCTAGTATTTGAGTTCTGCGAATTAATGGACGTTTTCCAGGTCTAAAAAAAAAGCATGTTTGCCTTGTCATCTTTATGTGACATGGACTTAAGCCAGTTCATTCTGAAGGCACAGAAGAGTTTATCTTTAGTTAGGTCTATGGTTGGAGCCTTAGGTATGATGGAATTATGTAGAACTGATTTCTTTACAGTAGCTAAGATTGTGTGTATAAATGTGGTACAGGACTTGAAAGTGGTAGGGAGATCCTAATCCCTTGTATTTATTGTCTTGTTCAGACAAAGCACTACTGTTGAGGTTGCAGAATGTGTGGTAGAATTTGTTGCAGTCCATTTGGAATAATTATGGTGAGATTTAGATTTGGTTTAATA